CAAAAAAAGAATCATTTTGGATAAAAACGGAAATTGACATTTAATACAAATAAAACTTTATTAGATTACCTTTTGATAAAAATGAAAAATCCCTATGAAACTAAATTTGTAACTTCAAATGTCACGGTTAAAATGAAAACCCAACATATATAAAATCATACAAACTAATGGTAAGTCACTTTCCTATTACCGAATACACAATATATTCTCACTGCCTTTCATGAATCCACGGAACCTTTTCAACTTCACGTAGCGTTGGGGCAATCGTTAAACATCGGCACTTCTCGTTATAGTTCGGATAAGAGAGACGAATACACCAACGCGAAGTGGCCCGAGCTATTAAGACTAAAGTTCACACGCCAGAAAAAGTGAACAAAGAACATGCTGTTAGTATTTCAGAGTATTCCTTTTTTTTACGATCGTTCATAGTAGTCACTGTGACCTCTTTCTTCAACTGTGTAAAAGAACACATTTACTTTGGACAACAAATGTGAAACCCATGGAGGCCACAGTTTATCATGTGGTAAAGTAGTTCCAATATGTCGCCCTATTATGACAAAGGTCAATAGCAAAGCATAATAGCCGAAGAGATCAGGTTGGATGTAAGGGGTTTAGATAAAATATTGCGATTCCCAAACCGAGGGCGACCATTTTTGGTCGAGGAACAAGCTTAAGTAATGAACAGGTAAGAGATTTGCACCAAAGCCCTCCCTCCTTAACTGTTTCGCGTCTTCTATAGGGCCATCATTGATTGCGATAAAGATACTAAAATGTTTCGACTTCGTGCACACTGTAACACAAACTTTTCAATACTTTAGGGCCCTTAAGAAAGTTAAATTAAACATTGTTAGAAAACCAGAGTCAATAAATTCAGTGCGATTTTTACATAGTATTATCGTCAGATCTTTTGACCTGTCAATTATGAATACATTATAGCACTCATTTAAATTTTGATCCCCCTTTGGGTTTGTTCTTTTTCTTGAGAATTAATAGGAGTATATTTCTTACGTTTGGAAATCCCAAATAGATTAATGGTTTGGTTTTTAAACCAAAAGGGGAATTTGCAAGTCCCTTTAATTGATTTCCTTTAAGGGATGAGGGGGCCCGATTTTTCGATTTCCCTTTTTTGACACTCTTTTTAGATTATTTTCTTTATTTTTATTTATATTAAATTTTTTTAAAAAAAGGGCAAGGGGCCTTTCAATTTGTCTACACGGATTTGAACCAAATAAGAAAAAACCGAATTTCACATTTTTTAATAGGTTTTAACATTTTATTGATTTTAAATTGGAATGAATTTTCAGGGAAATTTAAATTTTTGAAACTTTTTTTTTAAAATTTCTAAAACATTTTTTATTTTAACAAATGTATAGTAATTTCAAAAAAGGGAAAAATTTTTAAAAAAAGGAAAAACCGTTAATTTTTTTTAAAAGATGTTTAAAAAAATTAGGGAAAAAAAAAAAAATACTGGACAAAACTTTTTTCGAATTTACAACACGTAAGGGATTTAGATATTTTTAAAACCAGTAAATTCAACCCCAATTTCGGGGATTTAAAGGTCAATGTAAATTTAATTTAAAAAGAAACCCAAAAAAAAATTTAACCACATCTTTACTGCGAAAATTTTCAAAGGAATTCCGAACTTATCGAATATTAAATATAAACTGTATTGGGCCCTATAATAGTAGGGTTGACCCGGTTTTAAAATTTAAAAAATATTAAAAAAATTCAAACCCGAAACTATGTAAAAGGGAAAAACCCGATGTCTATGAACCAAAAGTGAGTGGGAAAAATGTTAGATGATTTTGCAAATTAAAACATGAAATTCCAAAACTCTTCAGGGTACAATCTTAAAGTCAAATGGGCCAAGTGCCCCAAAAAAAAATTTTTCCAAATCCTTTCATGTCATAAAAATCTCATTGGGGGTCCCCCTTTTTAAAAAACTTTTATTTGGTTTAAAAAGGAAATTTTAAAACTCAAAAAAGATTTTTTAAAAGAATTTATTTTTTTGGTTGATTTTTTACTTTAAAGGGGGGCGTAGGGATTTTTTGGGGAAGGAATTTCAGGCGTGAAAAGCAGTCCAATTTGGGGGATTTTTTGTGCTAAAACGAAACTGTTTTACCACACCCGACTTTACAAAGATTTTTTACCTATCAAATTATTTTTTTAGCAATTTTGTTCTAATGGAAAGCGGTTGCATTTTTTCTATTTTAACTTAAAAAACAATGTTGAAAATTTAAAATTAAATTTTTTCCAAGCCGTATCTTTTAGAAAGAATAAAATATAATAATATAATGAAGAATAAAGATGATGAACGAATAATATAATAAAAGACAAGTTAATATAGCTGAAACGAACGGCACGTATGTCGAAATTGGTTGCCAAAAAACTTTTTTTTAAAATAATGTACAACAACATTTTCGGCTGAGATTATTAGCCGATTTCAATTCTTGTGTTCGGAATAACATCATTGATATTTTTAACTATCCTTATTTATAACAGAAGCAAGTAGCCATGTAACAGAAGTATAGCTAATTGGACGTTTTAAAGTGTACAAAGCTATATATCTGCTACATGAATTTTACAAAAACTTTTGTTTTTGTTTGTTTTTTTTTATTTTTTTTATTTTTGAATTTTGAAAAATTGTATTTTCCAAAATCCTAACTACTAAAAACACCTTTATGAACGGAAAATACGCTTGTGTGTTTCATTAAAAAGTCATGGCCATTGCTAAACGTTAAAAGACATGCTTAAAGGCCCATTTCTCCAAAATCTTTTTGCTTTTGATGTCTTGTTACGGTTTTCAAAAAAAAAAATGGAAAAAAGGCCAATTACATGGAACAACTCATCTGATGCGGTATATCGCCTTTAAGCAATTAGTATAGTTATAGTGATTAAGTAATTTGTATGGAAGTTGAAAATACAATGTACTACTAACTTTTTTTAAACCCCATGTTTTACATTTCTAACTTTATAAAAAATAAGATCACATTCCTGGCGCTTTTTTTTTCAAATGACTAGTGTCTAACATGTTTCTAAAATCAATTTATAAAACTGTTAAAAGAAACACAACAACTCATATTTGGGCCTGTTCTAAAAAAAAGTTTTAATTTGTTTCTGCCTTTTTAAAAATAGAAACACATAGTAATCCGTGTTTCGGAAGCTTTTCCTATATTTACGTAAAACACTTCAAATGTGTGTGTAAGATAAAAAAAGACAGTCGTCATGTACAACTCTTCCCCGGGATTCAAACCAATAACGTTATTGAAAAACACATTGTTAGTTTAAAGAGTTCATGAATTATAAATGAGCCGCGCCACGACGACAAAACCCAAACATAATGGGTTTGCGACCAGCATGGATCCAGACCAGCCTGCGCATCCGCGCAGTCTGATCAGGATCCATGCTGTTCGCTATCGGTTTCTCTACTTGTTTATAGTTTGTAAGGGCGAACAGCATGGATCCTGATCAGACTGGCGCGGATGCGCAGGCTGGTCTGGATCCATGCTGGTCGCAAAAGCCACTATGTTGGTTTTGTCGTGACGCGGCTCAAATGTATGTTGACTTTATAACCCTTTAAAGAATTGCCGCTTTTTTAACATAAAAAGTGTATTTCTCATTTTTGTATGTTACAGTTTTTAAAGCACATAAAATATGTATTTAAAACAAACATATTTCATAAATAATACATAGATGACATTCAAGTTTTTTTTCTACAAATATACCGTTTATTTTCATTCAAGTGGTAAGAAAATAAATATTTCATAAGTGGCAAGAAGCCCACGAGTGAATATAATAATTTTCATACCACAATATGAAAATAAAATCCTGTATTTATAGAAAAATACTTGAATTTTCTATGTTTATATACAATTTTCACATTTTTAACATAACAATTTGAAAGACTTCCCCTTAAAATCTGTGCATTGGCTGAAAATTGGAAGAGTTTAGTCATGCAAGACACCAGTAAAAATACGGAAAATAAGGTTTCACTGCAGTGAAAAATAAAATTTTAAAGTAAAAATATGGAAATATGAAAATACGAGTTTTATTTCATCAATATTTCTCAATATTTAATTTAAAGTATATAATAAATGTAAATATTAACCTATAGAAGTATTGAGACTTAAAGCATTCATGTACCTTAATTACAACAATATAAATAACCCGACAAAGATATACCCGCATTAACAAGGGAGATAAATATTGGTTATACTATTAGTGTCTGTTACAAGAGTTACATAAAATTCAAGTCAGGAAAATGGGATCTTTAAATTTTGTTGAGCTGTTGTGCTCGGCATGAACTGGAGAGTTGGAGAGTGTCAAGGGCTCTCCATTGTTAAAAGTAACTAAAATAATTCATAATATTGTATTAAAATAATTGAGCTCATTTCATAAAAAAGAAAAAATGAAGGAAAAAGTCGTAGAAAAAAAGAAATTATCAACTTGATCTTTTGGCTATTTTTCATTTGAATGTTGCTTTCGACATATGCGAAAAAACACATCACTTTCTTGACAGTCAGCTTCTATTTCTTTTATCGTCACTTCCTGTTACTGAACAAGATGAAGGAGACACACTCGAATCTTTACTGTAGTCGCTTCCGGTCTTCGATTTTCCGGTGTTTCCTTGACAACGACATTGCTGCGTGTCTAGCTTCGGTATAGGACAGTACCATGAGACCAAAAAACTATAGCTGTTATTGTACCAAGAACACCGATGGATAACTTGAAGGTAGTTGTTTCTGAACATTTAATGCAGTCTTTATTTGTACCTGTATATTGACAAAAAAACATGTTTTCTTTAAAGATACACACACATTTACCTATATCAAATCGTGAAGACACGTGCAAATCATTTCAAACTGAAAGGATATAAAGCTGTATCTTATGAAACATTTACATAAACTTCAAAAAAAGCTAAAAATAATTATGTTGTTTTCTATAATTTTATGGTCGATACCCGAAAGATTTGTAACATAAAATGTTTCTGTTTTTAACAAACATGAAAACTGTATATTAAGAGAATGAAATTTTCCAGAACAAAAACACTATGCTGCTATTATTATGATTAGGTTTCAATTATTTCATAAGATTTCGTGCATGTTTCATTAATTCAAAATGGAAATGCACCAACATATTTCTTTCTTACTATTCCTTTTCGAAATTCCAACAAAAAGGTTGTGCTACAAACAGTCTAAAATAATATTAAATAATGGATTAACAGATAATCTGTAAGTGTAAACATATGTGAGGTGTCACTTGGAAAATTTATTTTTTAAAAGTAGTTTTAGTCATTTTATAGAAAAGCATGAAAAATCATATATGAGCCGCGTCACGACAAAACCAATATAGTGCGTTTGCGACCAGCATGGATCCAGACCAGCCTGCGCATCCGCGCAGTCTCATCAGGATCCATGCTGTTCGCTTACCAACTCTATTACATGTAGAGAAACTGATAGGGAACAGCATTGATCCTTATCAGACTGCGCGGATATACGCATTATGTTTGTTTTGTCGTGACGCGGCTCATATCAATAATTCCACTATGAGGTACTTTTATTTGCAATTATAAACACTGATATTTACCTTGTTTTGTAATGTTTACTGAAGCTTCTACAAACATGCCTGAACGCTCATGAGCATCTCTCTTCCTTCTACTCGAACGGGAACAGTGAGCCTGGAATATACAAATTGATGTACACCATACATATATTTGCTTGAGTATATGATAATAAGAAAGTGGGACAACCTTGCAAAATTGAAATGTTGCATGCTTGGTTATTCAGACTGGTTATTGACGGTAGTAGTAAATATCACTAAAGAAATTAGTTAAGGATGCAAATATTGTGAATTTTCAGATTAACTGTTAGAGGCAAAATCCCAAAAACACCTTTGTGCAATATTTAAAGGTTGTATCATAGTTTGGGGACCTTTTTTGTTGAAAATGTGTCAGAGTTAAATCGTATACATATACATATAAATGCACAAGCGTTAACTGGAGTGCAGGTATTAGTTACCCGCACTCGAAAGCATGTCCTTTGATTGGCTCATTTTTGCTGGGTTTACTTATTGTGACGGAAGTGAAAGGGAAAGCGACAGAAATATCATATTCAGAAGCTCGTTCATTGGTTACTTTTTTCTGGGGTTTCATATTGTGACAAACAGGGAACGTGGTTTTTTTTGTTTTTGTTTGACTATGATACAAAAGAGAAAGAACATCAAAACACTCGGCAATCTGATTTATACAAATCAGATAGCCTCGTGTTTCGATGCTCTTTCCATTACAAAGAGCATCCGTCGCAGTAGAACTATCAATCTTAAATTAGGCGAAACTTAAGGTTACAGAAAAAGTTGTCTATGGCTTGATTGAAACTTCAACTGTAAGTCAATGACTTAAGCCAGATGTACACAGATGTAACAAGTATCGAATAAGTATATAGTATGGACATAAAGACTATCTGTACGGTAATATATCGGAAGACATGTTTTTCTACACGTGTAGGGATATCTGCATGTTCGCATCTGGTTCGAATGTGAAAAAAAAAAATGTAACTTACAGCTCCACACTGCCCAGCGGTTGTTGTGTCACTGTCCTCCATACATAGTGTGACGTCACATCTAAAATACAAGGCATTAGCAGCATCGACCGGATTGTTTGTAAATGCAGACATCTCGAATTTAGGTGAGTATGCAATGTACGTTTTTATATTTCCGTCCTAAAAATAGATGTATCAATACAACTGCAATATTAAGGTAGTGTTCAAGAAATACATTTGTTAAATTGATATTCCCGCCCTGTGATCACACGATTTTTCAAAACTTCTTAACATTTTATTTTTATATACAATTTTCTTCAAGATGAATTTCGAATCTTTACTTATATCTACATTGACACCAAACCAGTAAACTGATCTGTTTAAAATGATAAAATAACGTATATTGTGGCATAGTACGATGCCAGGTGGTCATTCATTATATGCTATGATACTAAGAACAGTAATAATTCGATTCAAGCATAATAATGCATACAAATTTATGCTCAATATTAACCTAAAATAATTCCCCTGTGGATCTTATTAACGTATGAATAAAACCGATTTATTTGGCAATGTTAACTTTGAAATATATATGTTTATTTCAGTACGATCTAACTTTTTGTTAAATATGGCCCATTTATCTTTTTGTTAAATATGGTCCAGAACGGAAATTGCCCTTAAAAATTGCCTCCATAAAGTAACCAAGGATCATAATACTGAAAAAAGCTATCAATCGTTTCTGTTAACATCAAATGAGCTTTGACTTTTTATTCATGTTTACATTCTTGCCAAGTTTTATGTAAACTAAACTAACCGACTTTACGATATGTATTTTAACATAAGGACACATGGATATTCTGAAGTGGAATTCCTTTGATCCTGTTTAGATCTTTAATAACTCAAAATTCTAAATGATATATCAAAACAGCTATTATTAGCAACGTGTATATATAGCTCAACACCATTCAGTGTTTAAAACTTTGACTTATCAACTTATATACAATTTATACAAATCGTGCAAACTATTTGTTAAAAAATTTCAGGTTTATCACCTCTTTCTAAATACGTCAACAAAAGTTATTTAAATCACCAAATTATAAAAAAATGACTCTTGCAAAGTGTCTTCTCTTATGATATTCTCTAAGAACGATGATTGTCAGGTGTGAATGTTTAAACATTCAGGGGATTGTTTTGATGAAGAGAACAAATGAATTATGTTTTGTCACTTTCCTTGCAAAGACGTAAAGCAGAACGCAACTTCCTGCAACTCAATATCTTTCGTGAACTGCCAAATGTCATTTATACTGCGCCGGCGAATTGTTATTTTATTCACCATGCCTTACAAAGTAGTTTACTATTATATTTCTATAGTCCAATGTATATAATGTTCTTATTATAAGTGAAATCTTACGATTTATCCAGTATGTTTTGGGATACATGCATGAGTGTTTTGTATGTCTTTATTTCTATAAATGCAATTTCGACAATAAAGAGTAGTGACACATTAGAAACAATACAAAACTCTGAAAACAAAGTTCAAAGTACAAGCCTCTTACCAGGGTTGATGACACATCTTTAACGAAACCTACATTTGTATTCATATTCTCAAAAATATCCACGTCCAAGAAGCACCTGTAAGAAGTCGTTTACATGTATGTAAAGAATCAAAATATATGTGTTAAGTATATCTGCATACATTTCCTGACGAGTCAATATATTTTATATTCAAAGAAACAATTTAATTCAAAAATAACAGAACAGCGAGCTTCTGCAATTTGTTTAAGATTGCCAACATCCTTAATATGAGTGAAAAGCATAAAATGTATAATAAAGTGAAAATCGAATGCTTTATTTGATTGATTCTGTCTAAAAGAGATATCATTTTCGACCTTCACTGATAGATATGATAATGTTACTATAATGATTTCATTTTGGCTTCGTGTCGTATAAGTTATAGCTTTTCCCAATGTCTTTGAAGAGAGGATACATGTATACTTAAGTATATCATGCATTTCATAAAAAAGAACTTATGTATACACGCTTTTGCTATTAAAGCCACTGATAACGAATATGTAGTTAGAATTAGCCGGTAGTTGGGGTCATGAGAGATAATGCAACTTTCACTTTACCCGATGACTAGAATAAATCAAACCCAATTTGCACTTTTATCATTTTACTATAATATTGTTGTCATTTGCACTTTATGAATTTCCCTTGTCCGTAAATTATATACTAATATAAGTAGATGTTAATGTTGTCCTGTACTCCATATTCGTGTGTTGGTGGTGGTAACACCACAGGGTAGTGATATGCGTCTAGTACGGCAAGGATCGAAAGTCTCTACATCTTTGTTGTCGCTGGCTAGCCTACTTGAATGTGAAAGGGAGAGTCGAGTGCGTAAATCTTTCCTGCCAGTACATAGCCTCTACACTACCAAGACTCCTTCAAAGACTCCTCGTGGAAATGCACGGTAACTGAGGCTTAGTGTCTAAATTGAAGGAGATCTCGGAGCAGAAAGGGCCTCAGAGATGCAGTGTGTTCGCCCACCGGCGTGTGGAAATGCCTTAGCACTCATCATTACCCCAACTATGGGTCAAATGCCCCACTGCCTTTCTGGGTGACTTGGAAAAGTCAAAGGCTATAGAAGAAAATCCAAACAGAAAATCTGGGGAGATAAACCTCACCGTAGTGGGAACTACAGCCATCTAAGTGAATGACAACCCTAAAAGAAAACCCGGGCCAACAGTGTTGATGTTAGGCATGGTGTAAGCTGCTCCACCCTGTAAAACAACTTTAGTTACGGAAACTGCAAACCAGACACAAACCCAATATCAGGATAGTGATGATGGTCCTCCAAACAGAATTGGACAAATGACTGCTCAAAACACGACTAGGCCATCATTATTAAATCCAAAGCAATCTTGTTACATTGGGGCATGGAATGTGCGTACAATGTACGAAGCAGGTAAACCTGATCAGATAGAGAGAGAAATGCAGAAATACAACATCCAAATACTTGGCGTAAATGAGACCAGATGGACTGGATGATAACAACCAATTCCCAAAACACTATAGTATAAGGAGGGAACTCAACTCCATCACAAAGATAGCCCTCAAGTGGACACCAGCAGAAGGAAAAAGAAATATATGAAGACCCAGAGAAACATGGAGTGAAACATAGACACTGAAATAGAAATGATGGAAAGGAACCTGGAAAGAAAAGGCTGCAAAGGACAGACCAAAATAAAGGAGACTGGTTTCAGCCTTATGTGCCACCTGGAATGAGAGGTAGTAGGAAGGTAATCCATCTTAGTGGTGCCATAATTGTCTTGTGCTTCATGATCATTTTTTCACAGATGACTGAATGCCATTTAAGACACTGTTAGATGAATTCAGAGTTGTTGTTACTTTGAGTTCATCTAATGAACACACTCTTTAAATAAATAAAATATCATTAAAATGATCAACAAAAGAGTGAAATTTCCTAAACGACAAATCAGTAGACTATAAAGACCGTAAAAAAATCTAAGTTCATACCCATCTCCGTCGATAAACTTGATTGCTGGAGAGTTGAATGCCGCCACTTTGTCAACGATGCAGTTAGTTACACGTGCGCCCGCAAAATCCATATTTGCTTTAATAGAAAATAGATATTCTGGCTTGATATTTTGACAGAAATGAAAATCTGAAATGTAGTGTTTATCAACTTTGAGATTTTGAATGGTAGGTTGTCTGCAAAAACACCGAGAAAGACTTATGAGTGTTTTAAAACATTGTCATTTTGACTGTAAAGAGTCTGGTTTATCTTTCTAGATTAAAATGTTGGTTAAAAAAGCTGTGGCACTTGATCATGGAACTCACCTTTAACTATCCGATATACAAGGAATGAATTGACCACTTGATATACTTATTTTTTTTATTTTTTTTTTGCTTTTTGCGAATTATGAATATTTGTATGACCATTCTAAGTTTGAAAGGAAATAAAGAAATAGATGATTAACAGATCAATAAATAAACATAGATTTATACAAATCAACGTGTGAGTGAAGCGTCTCTCTAACTACTGTTTTCTTAATGTCGAGGAAATCTCCCCAAACTTTTACAAATTATTTCTGGTCGAAATCGGTGAAAAACACTTTATGAACTCTCAAAGCAGTACTTAAGTACCTTTCAAAAATAATTACATGAAAACAACACAGAGAAACAGAAATTTGTGAATCATGTGTATGTTTGCAAAGTGTACCTGGGTTGACTGGTGTAGCGTGCATTCACCACAGTCATCAAAACTAACAGAGTCCTAAATTTTCTTTAACTTATGATGTTGGAAAATGTTCAAGGTGTAACACAAAATATTCTCTCTTTTTTAAGAAAATAATAATGTGGAAATACGATGTTAGTAAATAACTGGTAATGTTTTGTATAGTTGCATTAAACATCATGCCAAGTTAGAGAGTTTTTATTTACAGTCCTGCTAAATGAAATAAAAAGGAACTCATTTATATTACTGTGATAGATATGTAAGTAAGTAATGATTCTACTCTTTTTTTGCTAAAAAGGCGGTTCAAATGTAAATGAAAAACAAGTCACTAGTGAAATTAAACATCTAATTATTATTTGTTAGAAGTAAGTTGCAGGAAATTTGTGTCTCGGGTCCTATGGGGAACAATAACAATGGGCGGGACAGCTCAAAGAAAACTTAAAACGAAACTTAATCTGAAGGGTTATTTCACTCATTTACGACAATTTAGTTTAAGATTAAGGGAAGGAACTTATGCTTACAGTATTGAAAATAAAAACACTGCTGAAAGTGGTGATTCTGGTGTGTGCTGTGATGATGGTAGTGATGATAGTGAATGTTTGAATGATAAAGTTGACATATTATAAAAGTTCCATTATTATCCGAAAAGGATTTGCATTTTAAGTCACATCAATATTTTACAGCTTTATCTTTGGAAGAAGACCTCATTTGCTTCTTCGGACATTATCTCAAATACAGAAAAAACGACATTTCGTAAGCTAGCTGGAAAGCTTCCTCACATGAAAGAGTCAAAAGTACCTGATGTGATATTAATTCACAGTGGTGAGGGTCGAGGTGTTTATTATGATAATCTTGAAAAAGGAAGATAAACCCCCGTAACATTTACAGTAAATATGTTCAGTTTATCTAATACTTACTTCCCTTTATCAAAACAAAATGACATGCAAAGTCATTTAATCACTTCTGTTTAATAGGTCAGCACACTCATATATGGAAAATTTCATTTGATATACCATCAAAAACTAAATTCTAGGTCTCTAAATTCAAAGTTTCACCATTTTTTATGTTCAAATTATGTTATTATGTTGAATACTGCTTAAGCCGGTTTTAGATGGTGGCGTGGATAGAGGCTTGCATACTAAAACTTGTAGGAATGATGGTAAAGCAGGCAGCGTATGCCTCTTGTTGGATTTGGAGTTGGCGGGAAAGATATTGTAAGAGCTGCACCCGAGATGGTTGTCGTTAGAAGCACCAAAGCTACTTATTGGCGGGACGGGGACCCTTCCTAATGATGGAGTCCGGTCATGCAGTGCACATTGATATGTTGACCATAACGGGTTGATTGCATTGAAAAAAAATCAGATTTCAAATAACAAGAGTTTCCGTAAGTGACCTACTACTTATCTCCCATGCTTTCTAAATCAGCGTTTAGAGACAAACATGACGCATGACCATAAGACCCAATTTTCGACAATTCACTTTGTAAGAGACATATATGACGTTTGTCACATCATTGTTGGACATATTTTTGTATACGAAGCAACCTTTTGTATGAGAAGCTCAAGAACACAAATTTATTCTAGGTTTTCCATAACATGTGTGTTTTTGTTTGTTATGTTTTTATCTGGTTGTTCATAAAAAGATATTTTAGTTTTAATAAAAAAACTTAGGATTTTGAAATATCAAAACTGTTACAATTTCAATAAAAGCAAAAACGAGTTTGTTTGTTTTGGTAGTGTTGGCTCACCTGTGATCAAAGAATTGAGTTTAGACGGTAGGGCATGTATTAACATACTTACCGATTATCGAATAAAACATTTCTGTCTATAAGGAGTAAAAATGTTTTGAAAAATATTGAATAAGTGACCAAGAAGTCAGAACACTGTCTTCATATTTTCTTAAAGTTTCACAAAGTGGGGCTGAGAAGTCTTGTGACCAAATATTTTAGACTATTTGTGGTCTTTGTAACATAACTCCATATTTGATATTAACATTAACATTGTATTTTTATAAATCAGATATTAATTCATGTTAACTTACAATGTGATCTAATTGACTTAAAGTTTCTTGGTTCAGTTCGTTAGTGGTAGAGGTTAAACCTTAAATACCTTATACATTACAACTTTATACAGGGTGTGTGAACTCCTTACGTCAAATATTGATTGAGACTTTTACTTTATATTTATATTACAATAAGTTAATATACTACCTTACTAAATACTGGAATGAGATAATACGTTATTTCAGATTCATCCGTGAAAAATTCGTATTTAAACTTACAATCCTTTTATTATTTATAATTTCATGCTATTTAAATCAAATCTTCATTCGAAACCACATTTAAATTTGAATACGTCACTAGACGATTAAAAAGGCATTTTCATTTAAAAAAAGAACCGGGGTGCTGAATTTTGAAAAGGTCGAGTGTAATTTTCCAGCCAATGAATAACAATTAAATATATCATAATAACCTTATATCATTTAAAGGTAATTTTTGGGTTGGAATACACGTCGCACCAACACAGTATACGTCATGCGGCGACATTCCAGCTTTACGTCTGGAGGAAAATCTCAGGTGCTCTTCCGACGTACCTTGAGCAAGCTGGATAGCTTCATAACATAAAATAATCCAAAGTCCTTGTCGGGATTGGAGCCCACAGCTTACAGGGGCGAGTAATTTGTAGTCATCGACCTAACCCACTCGGCTATTGACTTCCATAGGTTCAGGGAAAAATTAAAATCAAATTTAAACATAGATAATAATAATAAAATAAAGTAAATAAATCTTTAAAGAACGCCCATATAGTAAAATGATGCAACATAGATGATAATAAAATAATGTAAATAAATCATTAAAGAACGCCCATATCGTCAAATGATGCAAGCTCGGTTAGATGACGGCTATTTAGACGATATGCGTGAGATATTGTTTAAAGACGACATTTTACACATTCAATAATGTTAATGAAATACGTGTACTCTTCATACCAGTGACTAGTTTTAACCAGTTTGAACGTTTCAGTAAATGAGTTATGTAAGTTTTATGTAAAACATGGTTACGATATTTAAAAGTGATCGAGCAAACATACCGACTGAACCCACAACATTTAGACATACACGAACGTCTTACCTAAGAATAAGATTATAAATAAAGCCATCTAGAAAACGCAATTAGCTTAAAAAGTACCTTTAAAATGAACAACTAAACAAGAGCTTCAACAGAAGATATCAGAATAATATTTATCTAAATTAGTGTTTAACGTCTGCAGTTTACATTTGAAATGTTACTTGATTTTCTTGAAAAAAAAAAAATACAAAAGTTAAAATTTGAAAGCTTAACCTTTTCTGAAGTAGTTGCGTGAATTATTAGACTACATATCTGTTTTTATTTTCTGACACAAATCGCACCTTCATCATTTAACTTAAATTTACAATTCATTTTTACATCAAAAATTAAGAAAATAGTATATCATTACCATAATTATCTATTTAGCTAGTTATTTATGGACTATATTTGTCATGCACTATGTTCAGTTTGATTGGGCCTGTTCCTGTTCATGGACAGTATTGGAAAGTACAAGCTACCGTTCACGCCCTTTGCTTCAACATGAAAATGAACTGTTTAATTTAAATACACATACGGCATTACACAGGTGAGAGGACGTTTTTCCTGATTATGAAATTTCCGTCATACAAAATAAATCAAACGAACTTGTCTGAATCTCGACTTGGAAAACATACACCATACAAGGCCGATTGGACGTTTCATGACTTAACTTGGTGCATAATAATAAGGGCATTAGGACAATTAAGAGTTCCAAAATATTCATAAGAATTGTAGAAAATAAACAGAAAATGTAACGTGCTAAATATCTAAATTAAGCATGTGATTTCAGAGAACTGGGTTTAAATTTACTTTCCTTTTATTTTCCTTTTAAGCCTACCGTGATAGAAAGAGCATAGAAACACGAGACTTTCAAATAAATCAGATTGCCGAATGTTTTGATGTTCTTTCTCTTTTGTATCATAATCTAAAATAAAAACACTTTCCCTGTTGTCACATTATGAAACCCCAGAAAAACACTAAACAGTGAACGAGCATCTGAATATGATATTTCTACCGCTATCGCTATCCCTTTCTCTGTCGTCACAATAAGTAAACCCAAAACAAAATGAGCCAATCGGTTCGCATGCTATTGAGTGCGGGTACCTAATACCTACAGTCCAGTGAACGCACTGTGAATGTATGTGTATACGATTTAACTCAATTTAACATATTTAAACAGAAATATCCCCAAACTATGATACAACACATACTTACATTCATAGGTGTCGATTGTCATGGCAAATTTAAGTTTGGCTGATTCTCCAAGATCAAGTGTCGTTTTGTCAGCATGTGCTAGACTGTCTACAACTGTCAAAGCAAATGTGTATGCAGTTGCATCAACATCAGTAGGTTTTGGTTTGTCTGTAATGTAAAAATGTTACATGTTGTATATCAAAGCTCCGTGCATTGTAGCTTCTGAGGACGAGTTATTCTAACCTGTTTCCAAAACAAATAATTGTAGCCAAAGTAATCATCATGATTTAAATGCCTATTATATAATTTCGCTAGACAATAATCATATAATAAAAATGTATTTTTCTATAACTGTATAAATGCAGCAAAGAGATCTCCAGTTGTTTATGAAATAAAGATTTTGGTATTCTATTATAAAGTATTAAATCTGTATATAAAAAGTTAAATTAAAGCATAACACAATCTGATAAGTGTGATTACTGGGTAAATATAAGCAAATACGCTAAAGCCCTTGCAAACGTTTGTGTTACATCAATGAGGTTCTAAAATTTGACTAAATGATGCTGAAACATAAGTTACAAGCAAGGAAATATTGTGTGGACATTGGGTGAATTATTTAGCTTAACATGAATATAAAATAGTTAATCAAGAAATTGTTAAAGTAGCCAATGTCGTAGACATGCACAACGTTTACATTGGTCAACATGTTAATCGGTAATGACCACGGCACAGAGTTGGGTAGGAGACTCTTCTCGTATATCAAAATTAACTTAAAAACAAATATAATTTCCGTTACATATTGATCGGCGAAACAGAAAACTTGCCTCAAAAACGGCAGCAAGATCGTCATTTTCACACATGAATTATCTTGAAAATAAAAATCTTAGAAACGTTTTCGTAATGGTGGTACAAGCCTTATATGCTGATTTTGTAATTCATTTCTTCAATTTGAGTTGCTATAGATTATACCATCGTCTCGTTTCCTACATAGGCGTTATTTGGGATAATATCATACGTTTTCTTCACATTACTGCTTTACGGTATAAATATTTTAAGATAATTTAGCTCTTAATGCTGTAGGAGTAAAATTAAAATGGAATAGTAGAAATACTAGTAATGAACATTGTACTTACGGTTCTTCCCGCATGCCTTAAAAGGAGAAAGAAAATACATTTATTTAATTTCTTGATTACAGGATGGACTTCTATCATAAATACAGCAACGTCTGTCATGAAACGCACTTCTTCAGCATTTCAGCATTTTGTAATTCACCAACGTACGAAAAAAATGGAAGCCTTCAAGAATGTCCGAAAGATGAAATTGAAAATTGTGCAGACTCAGCTTGATTGAGTGCGTTCATGGGCAGTAGTGGTAAATATCTAAGCTACAGTACACGCCACTAGCACAGGCTTCATCAGAATTCAACCAATGAAAGTAGAGAAATGTTGACTTAAGAAACATCGTTCAAAGCACAATTTTTATTTCCTAGAACATTTTTGTGATTAATTTGGCAAGTGAATTGACGACTGTGCACAATAACTTTGATATCTTTGTGTGTCAACTTTATTGCAATACATATATAGAGTATATACGTGCAATAATTCATTGTTACAATGAAAATGCTTCACTTCTTTTCATTAGATCGCCTTTGTATCATCATGAGTTTAAGAAGAACGTAACACTGTACTAGTTGAAGCCGTAATAATTCATTGTACTCACATGGTGGAGGAAAAGAACATTTGCAAGGATGGATATAAAAATCTGCATCTGAAAATTAAAAAAGGAAAAACTTTAAATCATATCTCCTGTCTAGTAATATCTTTTTTTCTCTTTAAAAAATTGTTTATTAAGATGGAAATGTATTTGCATCTAAATATTTGTCTTATCTCCCATTTTGACCCAAAGGTCAAGAGGCATGATTTATATATATATTTAATTTCCTTTGAAATCGTCTCTGAGCCAAAGACAAATGTCCGTATAATTATATTTCTATGTAAATTAAGCGACCACCAGGGCTGAGTCAATTTTTATTATATAAATTCTGTAGAAACAAACTTAAAAGGCTTCAGTAAATTTCAGGACTATCATATTTTACACAGAACAAATTCTGTAAAACACAAGGTGAAAAAACATTCAAAATATGGAAGTCCTGAAATTTACTGAAGCCGTTTAAGTTTGTTTCAAAAAGAAGCTAATGTTATGTTAGTGATCACTGGTAGGTGTCATTTTTTAGCCTAGTAACACAATGACAAAAAAAGAGATAAGAACGGAAGGCCTATAACATCTAAACTCAGAAAGATACAACAATAGGGATGACACATTCTTAATGTCTATGATCTAGACACTGACATTACGGGAGCATTTTTCTTTATTCTTACAAAAGTAAATTTAACTTAAATGAACTTGAGGCAGGGCTGATTTGACCCTTGTGCCATACAACATAAGGTTCAGTTACATACAAAATGTGGAAAGTCCGAGCAAAAAGTTAAAAGGTTTTTTTAAAAAAAATATTTATAGCAGTCATTTATAAAAATGAATTTGCATAGTATTTGCATGTTAAAGGATGTGACCGGTAGCTTGCGATTACTACTACCGTACATGAACATATTCAATCAAACCGAGCTTGCAACATTTTGCCGCGTTGGGTTTTCATTATGGATTATGTTTTTCTCTATAACTAATAATTTTTGTTGAAGCTAGCTAGGCAATGCTTCACACATTATATCTTCTTATATTTTCGAAATATTTTTTCCTTTACCAGTCAATACAAGTCAATGTAAAAACTATGGCCCCCTTGTCTGGCCATTTGTTTACCGAAAGAAAATAAAGTTTTGATGTTTTTTTCTACATAAAGTTTCCAAGGAGAAACTTTTGATTTTTTTCTCTTTATACTAGTTAATGTATATAAACTGAGTGACGTGGTCTAAAGGTGGGAACCATTCAAGAATCATTCGCGGATCATGTCTTTGAAGTTTGGTAAGAGAAAAATGCTGTTGTAGATGATTGCGGATAACGACACACAAAGGACGACAAACACAGTGCTGACTTCTGAGCACAGGTTAGGAACTGTTTCATGACTGATAACCTATCGTATTTTCTTCTGGTAAAAGTTATGGTGTTTATTTTCAAGGAGAATAAAAGTAATTGTTATTTTTATCTATAGATACAAAGAAATAAGTGTAACATGAAGTGTAAGTTAAATGAGTATGGTTGCCAAATGCTATGCAATTGTAAAGTCATTGTTAGAAAAAAAAACAATAATTTATTTCAATCCAACATTTATACGCAATATAATAACAATGCAATGCCAAAAAAGATTGAGTAGAAAGCTGCAGGCTTTTTTTAGAAACTCTCCTTAAAGTACTGTTTATAACACAATAGCAAATTTTGCTCATTTAGTTTGAGAGTTAATTCATTTATTTCTATGAAAATGAGCTGTTGTAAGAGTGCACACATATACGATAGCTCGTGGTTTGATACCGAAACGCCTGATGTGCGTTTTTATAAACAATTTTTTAAATTTTAATTCAAACAGAGCATCTTGTTGTGATTGTAGAAAGAGATACAATACGATTTTAAAGAAGTTACAAGAATCAACTTAAAAAGGTATGAACCACAAGATTTTGGAAACAATTTAACAGCATAATAAAATTACTGGGGAAGCAAATCTGCCTAAAAAGTTCGTTTTTGATTATGAAAAAAGGCGGTCATAACTGAAGTAGAACCAGAATGATATTATTTTGATGATGGAAAATCTAATGCTTATAATCCTACCTTTGACGAATATTTGTGACGAAGTTTGTGCTACAGGGAGCAATCAAATCAATAACAAAGCGATATAGCCAAATGACAAACCATTTAATGAATATTGTATTTGAAATTGTTGATATTTTGGTATGGAATATAATGATTAATTTTATTGAACATTTTTTAAGGCTGGTTATTTCCCTGAAATGTTGATGCAAACTTTAACTGTTCCTTAAAAGGTGAAATAATAGAAATGGAAATAATTACAAAATTGAAATCTCATATCGTTTTATTCCTCTAGTAATGATGCTTGAAAATATAAATTATGATTGTTTATAAGGGACTTATATTTCTACTAAACAATCAAACAACAGAAATCCTTTCAATACGATTTTTTTCTCGCGAATCTTAATAAAGTATCTGTTCTAAAGATATTGCAATCTCAGTAAGAATTTGAAGTTGACATTCTATAGTTAAAATATTTGAATTTCTGAATTTCGTACAACTAGTTATAAGTGTTATTATTGGAAATCATTTGGGTATAACTGTTGATATATAGGTTTAAAATATCTGCTTTTAATCACTCGGGTAAAGAAACAAATTTTTTCTCGTTTTAATCGTGTTTAGGCGGAGTCCCCGCCCTTAAACCCTTTGTTCTTTTGTATTTTCGTCCGAAAGGTAATTTAAAAAGAATTTATTAATCCCTGATTACTTTCTTTATGTGAATTTTGCGTTAGTATACCTTTATATTTTGGGAAGGTGGCTTACATAAAGGAAACCTAATTGGGTATGAAAAAGGTAAAACCGAAGCACATGCATATATTACCTTGATATTTTTTAAATTATATCAAAGAATTATGTGTAACTTTACAAACAAAATGTGATTAACTGATAATATCACACAACTTTCCTTATTTTCAATGTATATGACCATAACGTATGTCTTGATATTATACACACGCAATATGTATAATATGAAGTTGTAAAGGAATTATTTTGTTTAAATAAAAAAGAATCTTATATTCGTTACCATTTTTACACTTGTTTGGATCTCGTCCAGAAAAACAGTTTTTTTTTTATTATTATTAAAACAGGTCAGATCCTTGTTTTCTTGAATATGCCCTTTCCTTAATTATCTTGAAAATGGTTCGGATTGTTATATAATAGAAATGTGAAGTATTTTCTTCTTTTTGTTTTTATAGAGTAGCAAGGTATATCTTATTTGAATTAAATTTATTAATTTCAATTTCTGTTTTTACAATAAATATTATATGTTGTTTCAAGAGATAACGGAAATCTAAAATATGTACATATGGTCTTACTTGCATTGCGTTTGTAATAATTTATTTATTTATTTATTTATTTATTTATTTATTTATTTATTTATTTATTTATTTATTTATTTATTTATTTATTCATTCATTCATTCATTCATTTACAAACAGTACATAGTACTCTAATATACATTGTACAAACAATATAAAAAACATATTCTCAGCCATTCTATATAAGAAATAAAAGGAGACAAGAGAATTGTTTTCACAAAATGGACTTGTCATTTTCTAAAATCTCGTACATTATGTGATAAAAAAAATAATAAAAATGATGGATCCACAGTACCTATAACAATAGCTTGATAAACGAACTTTGTAAAAGAATAATGGATTAAAACAAAGAAGTACAAAAAAGAATTGTTTGCTTGTTCAATTAATACAAATGAGTTAATAAAATCTAGTGACAAAACTTTACTTCTTATAAAAATAATGATGTCTAGTTCACTTAATAGCAACTTGAAATTAACACTTTTATAAATTAAAATTATTTCTTCTTTTTACAGTTATTCACCTTTCACAAAACAGAGGAGAACAGTAACTTTTTTTCAGAGTTGTGTTGGTTTATAATTGCGCAAACACGAATCATATCAAAATGTTAAAAAAAGCAAAATGTTATCGTTATTTTTAGCACAAGTATTAGTGTATGTATGCATGTGCCTGTGTGCGTTTGAGCATAACTTAACAATATCGATATTTTATTTAAAATACCTCAAGTTTGGAGAATTTTACTGATGAACATACTACTTTTGTTCCGACGCAAATTACAACATTTGACAAACTTAATCATTCAACTTAACTTTTACACTTCATTCTCCGTAAAACAAGATAAATAATTACCATTTTGTAGAGTTTCTATCTCCTCCTGTACAATATAAACAAAATAACTATGTGACCTCCTTTTTCTTGAACTATCATTACAAGTTATCAGAAAAAAAATCATACATTACTTGACATATCATATTCCGTTATTATTGGAGACAAGACAATATTAATTTAAAAAAGAAAACAAATATATAAAGATATTGTCACTGCACAGTACAGACGTAAGAAAAAAGTATTACATTTTTACAATGTTTGCTTTTACAATTTCGTTAATGTGATGTTGAATCCTTAGACATTTATAATGACAATATTTCAGAAAGAAGCTTTATAAACAGCGTTCAAATAACCCACGCGTAGTTACGGTTCATTTGTGCGGTATATTCTCACCATGACTTAACAATTTTTATCGCAGGTTTTTTGTTTATTTTTTTTTTATTAAAGATTCCCACTACATGCGGAAAATTTATTACTTGTAATGTTTTATGTACAGAAACGGGCAGGAATAAAGTGTTGTTTTAACCCTATCGCTTATAAATCATAAATGACAAAACATCCGCCTTATGAAATAAGGCTGAGTTCAGCAAATCATAAATTGCAAGCAAAGCACAACATATATAACCACATACTCTCAATCTGTTGATAAAATAATAGTTTTACGTTTTCTTTTCGAAATAATCGGTACTGTATTAATTGATGATATGATAAATGAAACCATTACAAGAGCCATTGACAAGCTAAAGAAACTGAAAACCCTTGACCTGAGACTTGATTTCTAATGGAAAGTTGTTATTCTGATTTATATACTCTCATATTTACACCTATAGTTCTGATAGAGATAAAACCATCAGGATCGGTAACGTGATATGTAGGAAATAAGAAGCGCAGTTTCCTAAGACAAATACAAAGTTGTGTTATATTTGTCTGTTTCTAGTTTATTATCTGAATAATTGTGAATATAATCAATGTATGCATAAACATATATACATAGACCGGGTTCAATACATGATTGTTTAAATTAGAATTATTAAAAGTCTTAACGTAAGCAAGACGTCAGAAAAAAAAATATTTCATATTTTTCATTACATTATTATTCCATCATCATAAGTAAAATATACAATAATATGACATATACTACTATTACATACCTTGAATTTACACATTGTCTGGTTAAATTGCATGTGATATTTTTACCACGGAGTTATCCTTAATCAATAGCAACGGTGTATTTTAAATAAAAATCTGAAAAACCATGCTACAAAAACATTCTAACAGTAGAAAGGAATAAAGCCTTTCTAATAATGTATCAGGTATGTTCGTTTATACGACCGTTACAAAACGTGAGTGGGATTTGCAGACAGCCTAATTTCATTTAATTTTTTTGTGCAGTCACGTGAATCTATTCCATCACACCTTAATACTTATAATCTCTTTAGTTTAACCATTTTTATTGCTTTAAAACATGTACAAGATATATTAAGATTACATGTAATACGAAACAGAGTACGGATATTTCTTAAATAGGAAACATTTGGAATACTGGGCAGTCTTGTCTGTTCGTTCAATTTAAAATCTTCACTGGTTCAATAGTCATTTAAGAACAACGATAGAGACGGGATGGGCAAAAGACAGACACATAGAAGTATTTAATTTGTTTCTGCTTCTGCATCATATGCATATGTCGTACATAACAATATTTTAATAAGGGCGTGGTTTCTGTTACTCAATAGACTGAAAAATGACAGAATGCAAATGTTGTTTCGTAATACTGTTGAGGGATGTCTATGTACTGCAATCAGATTAAAAGAGTACATGTATTGCATGAATTACCCGAACCTTTCATACAAACCTTTGAATGTATTGAATCACTACCGAATTGTAACTACCATTTAACATATGGAGTTATTTCAGTGCCGATAGAAAGACCATGTTACCCTAATATTGCAATTAATTACAATTCTGTTAATCAGTCGAAAGTTTTTTTATGCAAATGAACATACATGATAAGGAAATATCTTTGAAAGAAATATTTTCGACCTGTAAGTTAGAAAGGATTGGACGATATAATACTTTATAAGATACGTACAATGTTAGCGGCTTTTAAAAAATAATTATTTTAATCTGTTTAAACAATATAGTCGTATTCTAGGACTTGAATAAATTTGTTGCGTTAATTTTCTTTAAATAATATGACCTCGGAGTGAATGATAAGTTTTTGTCTGTATCATTATGAAATATATTTTGTTCTACGCTTTTATGGTATTATATTACACTATTAAATATGAAATCCTTCACTGAATAATGAACTGTCGTCTTTAAAAATCGTTTATGCTCAGTTATATAAAACTATTACAGGTACCTTGCTCTGCATTAACTGACCTATCATCCCTTTCAATGACAATGGCCTCGTCTCGTTCTCTGAGGTTTCCCTGCTACTTACTATTACCATGTGCAATTATGCAATTCAAACATCAATTAATATAATGTTTTTTTTACTTTCATTTAAAAAACCGCAATTGGTGTGCCCACTCCCACTTGTTAATAATAAATCAATATGATTGCACAAAGATGTTTTTTAAATCACCGCTTTTCGTTTGTTGTACTATTATTACTAATTTAATTTTTATAAATGCAATTATTTCATGTAAGTAACTATTATAATAATACGTGTTTTACATACATCATGCTATATGCCGTATTTTTACTATTCACAGAAGAGAAAATGACGTCATTCTTTGATCTTTCTCAATCCTGTAATCATGTTGTTGTACATAATTGTATATGTTTGAACTATACTGAACAAAAAAAGAAACTACACCTGTGTTTAAGTAAAGATATAGTGTTATTTAAAGAAAAATCACAATGTCAAATGAGCTACATATATTCGGGCGAACGCAAAAGTGTCCGATAAAACAAATTTTAGATTAAAGTTTATTTTATTTCACCTTTCATTGTGATTTTATTGAATTTCATGACAAAAAAGAAAAAGACGTTGAAAAACAAATTCTTCATGGACATCGACAATAACAATATCTGTCATTTGTAACGGTTCGGATCGGAATATCCATCCCGAGGGTACCCCGCCCATGGGCTGGTACCCGAGGGACGGGTATATCGATCTGAACCGCGAACATATGTCAGATATTTGTTCTTGCATTTTCTGCCATATCATTTCATATTCAAAATGGTTTGCCACAATAAGATATTAGTTCATGAAAATAAATGACATTTCATCCGTAACTATTTTCTTACAATAATGGACCCCATAGGAAATAAGCTTTAAACTTAATCCTAAGGTAACATAAAACATACTAATTAATTAATTTTATAATTATTTTTGTTGCATTTTTGTGTGATTTTATATACGAGGATTGATCAATTAATGGTCTTACTTTTCAATATAATCGCCCTCAACATCAATACACTTTGCCCACCTGTATTCCAACTGGTTTAACTCTTCAAAATAGAACGTTCTATTTTGGTCCTCAAAAAACTCATTGACCGCCTCCACGACATCTTCATTGCTTCCAAAACGTCTACCACGAAGCTTGGTTTTCAGTTTCGGAAACAGGTAGAAGTCAGAGGGGGCCAAGTCCAAAGAATATGGGAGATGGGGAAGAATTTCAAAGCCGCAGTCAGTTGCAGCAGCCATCGCAACTTAGGATGTGGGAGCTGGCGCATTGTCGTGCAGGAGCAGAACGCCCTGAGTCAGTTTGTCCCTTCTGTTACGCGCAATTTCTTGACGCAGACGTCTCAATTCGTCTGCATAGTACGTTCCATTTATGGTACGACCTTGCTTAAGATAGTCAATCATTATTATCCCCTGACTATCCCAAAACATTGAAGCCATTATCTTCCATACTGATGTCACCCTCTTGAATTTCTTCGGAGGGGTGAGCCGTAGTGCTTCCACTGCATGCTCTGTATTTTGGATTCTAGATCGAAGTGATGGACCCATGTTTCATCCTGAGTTACGATTCGGTAGATGAAATCAGGTTTATCCTCGTAGCGAGACAAAAGATATATATTGAAATATCAAGCCTGGTCCGTTTCTGGTCGTCAGTCAACTGTCTGTGGACCCATCTAGCGGAAACCTTTGACATGCCACAAACATCAGTCAGAATTGCCTGAACTGAACCAAAGCTTATACTCACTTCCCTAGCAATGCTTCGCAGGTCTCGCATTCTGCCGCACATAACCAGATCGTGTACAGCTTCGGCAATTTCATCGTTGGTGACCTCTTTTTTGCCAACCAGTCCGCTCATCATCTCCAATGCCCTCCCTGCACCTCTTAAATTTCGCACATTTGTTCACAGTGCCATAGGGAAGGGACTCCTTCCCAAGACTTTTGTGTATCCATGAAGTCTTCATGGATTTACTTTGGGGCCATCCCTTTCTTATAGAAGTACTTATTGACGGCTCTGATTTCAACCTTCTCCATTTGATCTAAATGACACACCCCACTACTGATCAGAGTGTGTTTTATATTACTAAATCTGTGTAAAACTGCGTGTAGCGCGGTCAGTAATCTTCAATAAGATATTGCTATCCACGTATCGTATGTAAATGTCAGTGTAGTGGCTAGAAGTATATCGAGAACTTTTTGATCATACCTCGGATATTCTAGTTTATATAAGTGACAATAATGTATGTGTTTATGTAGATACCCTGAATAAATCGATACAATAGCGTATGAATTTAAAACTTTGATAACAACGACGAAAAGCGTTATCCTTAGCATATACTCCCTTCAAATGCGACGAAATGACGCCATTTTAACGCAGTTTCTTCATACAATGCGCTCAAATAACGTTTTTGTATGACACGCGACTCATCTGGCACTCCATGTCTGATGAAATTTCCGGCATGGGTAAAACCAACGGAAACGCCAGTTTGCTATGTAAGAATACGTTTGTTGTGTTTTGAGGCGACGTCACCGCGTAAATCGTGTTAACTGGCACGTTCACACCAACGTTGGCTTAGACAACAGCGTGGAATAGCGTTCTTTTCTCTGACGAGTCGAGGTTTTTCATTCACCAAGCTAATGGCAGGGTTCGAGTATACCCTGGGTGAAATGAACGTTATGTCGACTGCTGCGTGCTCGAACGAGGTCGTTTTTGGGGTGGGGGTTCTGTCTCTTTCTGGGCAGGCATTGCAGATGGCTTACGCACCAATTTCGTCGTTATCTTGCGAGACATGTCATCCCACTGTTTCAAATAATGCAAATACCACCCTTTAAAACATGATAATGCAACAAGCCATATAGGTGGGGAGATTGTGAATTTCGTAAGGGTGAATAATATTGCATTTATTTATGACTGGCTTTCCAAAAGCCCTGATCTTAATCCCATTGAACACCTTTGGGATATTTTGGGTCAGCGCGTCGTCCTATTCCAACGTCAAACGTCATTTAGTTAAGACAAGCCTTAATTCAGGAATGGAACAACATTGCACAAGCTGAAATCAATACGCTGATACGTTCTATGTGCCAACGATGCCAGGCAGTCCTTCATGCTGAAGATGATCATACCCGGTAATAATTTGGAATTTGTGATTTCTGCATTTTAACTACCATTTCACTACTTTTGGATAAACCCTCAGTGATATTTTATTTTTTCACAACAAATCGTAATTAAATACTCTTCCAAAACATATAAATCTACTTTAATCCTAAGAATATGAAAAATGGTAATAGATATATAGTCGAGCACTCGGTAGTGTTATTATTTCAAGAATGCATGGTCTAATCATTTAAACAGGTATTTACTTATTTTTTGTCCCAATTTTGCATTACTGTGCTTCCGTTTGTGGTTTCAAACATTTTCAAAACAATTCAACAGGAGGACAACGCACAACACCGTGCGATTCGCTTCTTCTTAGGCGTTCACAGATTTATACCAAAATTAGCACTATTAGGAGAAACATGTTGGGTACCGTGTGCCTATAAAAGATGGATTTGTATGTCCGGTATTGGAATATACTGGTAAAACTAAATGATGACAGAATTACAAAACGAGTGTTCAATATCGAATACGATAACTCAAGTAAAGCAAGTAACTGGTGCAATGAAGTAAAAAAAAACATTACGTCTAAATTAGATTTATCAATCCACTTTGATAACAAAATGACAGTGAATATTGATTGTGTTAAATAAAAAAAGACTATTATGCAAATACATGTGCAATTGACTGAAAAGGTGCTTACATTAAGGACTTACAAAACATTTAAGATCCAATTTTCTTTGAAGGCAATTTGTTACTGAATCTTAAAAGAAATGAACGCTCAGTTTATGTACAGCTTTTGTGTGGTAGTTTGCCCTTTATGTCGGAGAAGCGCCAAATCAAAGAATTTGTGCTGTATGCCAATCAGGATTTACTGAGGATGAAACTTATTCCTTAAATGTGTGCCCGTATATAACGATATAAGATCAATGACATTTAATGACATTATTACAATCGATGTATAAAGCAACATGACAAAATACGGAAAAATTAGTACATTACCAGAACAAAGTAATAAAAAATCTTGCATATGTTTAAAGGAGATATCTGCTTTATAATAGGTAATTGGTGTTGAATGTGCAAAAAGTAAAACGATGCGATATACTGATTTACATGTTCTGATTTGTGATACTGCAATTTACAAATCGAGCAGCAAATATGTTCCTTTTTGTTCACTGTTTATATATTTATACATATAGGTGACTTATAGGTTCAATGGACCTGATGTTTTTGTATGTATTCTTACCATGTATATATACTAGTATTTGATATATGTACAATGACACAATGATAAACAATTGACATTAGTTTATTTACTTTGCTTAACATTACTTTGCTTTACTTTACATTACTTTACTTTGCTGTACTTTGTTTTTGTTTTGTTTGGTGCCTTCTGGGTGCTCTACTTGGGTTTGTCGGGGGGCCGCGTTCTGTGAACGTTGCCTTTGCCTTGTTGATCTTTATTCTTGTTTTTTTTGGGGTTTTTTTGTTGTTGTTTTTTTTTTTGCTTTACTGCTTTGCTTTAATTACTTTTCTATACTTACTTTACATTATTTTGCTTTAATTTACTTTATTTTACAATACTTTCCTTTACTGCTTTGCTTAACTTTACTTCACTTTGCTTTGCTTAACATTATTTTGCTTTACTTTACTTAACATTGCTTTACTTTACTTTGCTTTGCTTTGCTTTACTTTACTTTACTTTATATACTTATATAACTTTCAACATTACTACAGGAGTTGTCTTATATATATACCCTGTATCCTGTATTCAATGGATCTGATCTTAATACGAATGCTTTAATACAATATACTTGAATAGCTTATTTTGATAACACTGACATCATTTCTGAATTCAGCCATTCTAAAATAAACGCAGTTAATTTGCAAAACAAATATCGCCACTATAAAAAAGAGATAGCAGTGGGTGTACATACACGACTTCTAG